AACAAAACAGGGGGTACATGGGAGGGGTTGGTGGCAGGCAAAGGAAGAGTAGAAATTATATAATATTTTAATTTTAAAATGATGAAAATAAAAGAATGACTTAGGTCTATCACTCCAGCTAAGAAAAGCTAAGGCAGGAAGAAAACAAATTCAAGCTTGTCTATAGACTACAGAATGAGTTGAAGGCCAGCCTGGGCAGCCTAGTGAGACCTTGTTCAAAACATAAGAATAACTAAATCTCTGTGTTAAAGGACTGGAGATGTATGTGGCCTAACTGCAGGACACTCACTTGCCTAGTGCAGGGAAGGCCCTATGTCCGATCTCCAGAACCATAAAAATTAAATTAATAAATAAAATCCAGGAAACACTACCCAGCCTTTGCAGCTGATTGCTCCCACAGAGGGAACTGTGGAACTTGGCAGGCAGGGAGGGGCTTCGTCTATTTGTTGTTGTTTTGTTTGGTTGAGATTGGGTCTCTCTGTGTAGCTTTGGTGCCTGTCCTGGATCTCCCTCTATATAGACCAGGCTGGCCTCGAACTCACAGAGATGTGCCTACCTCTGCCTCCTCCTCCTGAGTGCTGGGTTCAAAGGCGTGGGGCACCAACGCCTGGCCCCTCTGAGGGTCTTATCTAGAGAGTCTTATCTAGGGCTTGCCCATTCCCTGAAATCTCCTGAGGGACTTTGGCACAGCTCAGCCTCCATGCTAACAAATCCTCCCGGGACTTTCACTATCCGTAGCTTTATCTGTACAGCAAGACAACCTTCGCCCCAATGCTCTTCTCCTCAGCCTTGCATAGCTCATCCTCCACCCTGTTTAGCCTGGCTCCTCTTCTGTCATAACTTATGGGCATCTTATGTATGCGCATGCGCGGAATCAGGTCTTTTTTTTTTTTTTTTTTTTTTTTTTTCTGCTATGACCCGTTTATCCTCAATTTATTTCATACACTCTACGATGGAACCTTCAGAGGTTCCATCCTCCACATCCTACATCAAACAAATCAGGTCTAGCCAGACAAGTTTGAGACAACTAGGAAAATAAACCTCGATCCAGTCCAAAGAGAGAACACTGGAGTCAGGGTACAGCCCAGTGGGAAGCACGCACTGAGAAGTGCAAAGGCCCTGGGCCCGTCCCCAGCACCCACAAAAAGGGAAAGTAAAAGCTGAGATGGCTTGGTAGGTGAGGACTTTTACTGTACAAGTATGAGGACCTGAGTTCAAGTCCCCAGCACCCACACAAAAGAAAAATTGATCAGGGGAGGCTTTGCCCTGGAGAAGGTGGGAATGGGATGTGGGCTGGGGGGAAGGAGAGGGGGGCAGGAGGGGGGAGAACAAGGGAATCCGTGGCTGATATGTAGAACTGAATGGTATTGTAAAATAAAATAAAAGGAAAAAAAAAAAAAGAAAAGAAAAATTGAGCTGGGCAGTGGTGGCGCATGCCTTTAATCCCAGCACTCAGGAGGCAGGGGCAGGTGGATCTCTGTGAGTTCAAGACCAGCCTGGTCTACAGAGTTCCAGGACAAGCTCCAAAGCTACAGAGAAACTCTGTCTGGAAAGACAAAACAAAACAAAAATTGAAAATTACTTTCGGGCCAGGGGGTGGTGTCTCACGCCTTTAATTCCAGCACTCAGGAGGCAGAGGCAGGCATATCTCTGTGAGTTCGAGGCCAGCCTGGACTACAGAGTGAGTTCCAGGAAGGGCACAAAACTACACAGAGAAACCCTGTCTCAAAAAAAACCAAGAAAAAAAAGAAAAAAGAAAGAAAGAAAAATACTTTCAAACTCTACCCTTCTGTGTTGTAGAAATTTCAAATATTATTGGGGATTAGGTTTACTTCATTATGGGTTGTCTTTTCATATATTTTTACTGATATTTTCATGTAATGTTAAACTTTTTTTTCCCCTTTGAGACAAGGTCTCAGCTCTAGCTGGCCTGGAACTCTGAGACTCACTAGCCTCACTGTCAGGAGTTCTGGGACAAAAGTCATATGCCACCACATTTTGCTAAAACCTCAAAAGGACTTAACAGCAGCATACATCTTTAATCCCAGCCCTGGGAAACAGGCAGTCAGAGCTCTGTGAGTTACATGCCAACCTGAGCTACACGGTGAGACCTCGTCCCCAAAACAAACAAAATATTTTAGAGTGAGATATAATACAACCCCCCAGAGAAACAGGGTCTCACTATGTAGCCCTGGCTGACCTGAAATTGACTGTAGACCCAGCTGACCTCAAACTCACAGAGACCATCCACCTGCCTCCACACCCACTCCTTGAAGTGCTGGAGTTAAAAGCATATACCACCATGCTCAGCAAATTTTTTTTCTTTTAATTATGTGTATATCAGTGTGTGGGTATGTGCATTCAATTGCAAGTGTCCTCAGAGGCCAGAGGTGCTGGATTCTTTCCCTGAACAAGAATTTTAGGCAGCTGTGATCCACCCACTGTGGATTCTCGAAACGGAACTCTGATCCTCTGGAAGAGCAGTGTGGGGTCTTAACTGCTAAGCCACCTCTCCAGACCCCTCTTCTGTTCACTCTAAGGAAATACATCCACTCTGCTGTGTGTGCCTCTTTCTTCTTAGTGTCTAAGATGTTCTTTGTATCTTCTGGAAGTTAATTATTTATATGCTATCTTATTACATTTATTTATTTATTATCTATCCATGTATGTATGTATGTGGGTGTGCCACAATTTGTGGGTATCACTGTTTGTGTGTGGAGGACAATTTTAGGGAGTCAGTTCTTCCCCTCTACCGTGTGGGCTCTGGAGATTGAACTCAGGTCATCAGGCTTTGTGGAATGTCCCTTTATGTGCCAAGGTAGTGAATGTTTTCAATCCCAGCACTCGGGAGACAGAGGCAGACAGATCTGTGTGAGTTCTAGGCCACCCTAGAACCTGAAACCCTAGTGAGTGCTGGGATAGCCAGCGCTATGTAGAGAGACCCCGTTTAAAAAAAAAAAAATTAAGGCTGGGTGTGGTGGCGCATGCCTTTAATCCCAGCACTCTGGAGGCAGAGCCAGGTGGATCTCTATGAGTTCGAGGCTAGCCTGGTCTACAAAGTGAGTTCCAGGATAGCCAGGGATACACAGAGAAACAAAATGAAAATGAAAATTGTGTGTGTGTGTGTGTGTGTGTGTGTGTGTGTGTGTGTGTGTGTGTGTTCCATGATTGAATACAGATGGTCAGGGTCAGGAGTCCACTGTCTTTACCTGCCCAGCCATCTTAGACCAAGCTGGCCTCAAACTCACAGAGACTGTCCACCTGCCTCCATATACTCCCTCCTTAAAGTGCTAGAGTTAAAAGCATGCACCACCATGCCCAGCAAGTTTTTTTTTTTTTAGTTATGTGTGTATCAGTGTGTGACTGTGCACACTCAATTGCAGGTGACCTCAGATTCTGTAATTTATTCATTTTTTTCAAAGACAGGGTTTTGCTATGTAAACCTCGGCCTCTTTTCCTCTTTTCCCCCTTTTCTTTTTCTTTTTTTCCTCCTTTTTTTTTTTTTTTTTTGAGATAGGGTCTCAGGTAAGCCAGACTGCCCTTTAGTTTACTCTATACACAGGGCCACCTTTAACTTAGCCTTATCTTCCTACTTCCACCTTCCAAGATCGGGAATTTCAGTGTGCTACCAACCTCCCCGGCCCCCGTTCAAATTAATTCTTCAACAGAAAAAGTGTGGTACAACAGAACTATTCAGTTTGCAAGGTAATTGCAGGGTTGAGACATTCTCCCTAGTACACCTCAGACAAAGTGACAGAGTGAGTTTTAAACCATTTAATAAAATACCTTCTTTTCACGTCTCTGTTCCTGCCATAGAAATATTCTACACTTTTTTCCTGTGGAATTAATATACCTCACCTGTGGGAATATCAGAAAACACAGATGAACAAAACAAGAGAGGAGACGTTTTACTAGGGGTAGAGTTATATTTTATAGGTTTAGTCAAATTAATACTAACGATTTATGCGTGAGTACTTTGCTTGCATGTCATGCATGTACACCACATGTGTATCTAGTAAGAGGTCACTGGAATTAAGAATGTGAATGTTGAGCCGCCTTTAATCCCAGCACTTGGGAGGCAGAGGCAGGCGGATCTCTGTGAGCTCGAGGCCAGCCTGGGCTACCAAGTGAGTTCCAGGAAAGGCGCAAAGCTACGCAGAGAAACCCTGTCTTGAAAAAAAAAAAAAAAAAAAAAAAAAAAAAGAATGTGAATGTTGGCCAGGCAGTGGGGCACATGCCTTTAATCCCAGCACTCGGGAGGCAGAGCTAGGCAGATCTCTGAGAGTTCGAGGCCAGCCTGGTCTACAGAGCAAGATCCAGAACAGGCACCAAAACTACGCAGAGAAACCCTGTCTCAAAAAAAAAAACAAAAAAAACCGCGGGTGCTGGGAACTGAACCTAGGTCCTCTGCAAGAGCAGTAAGTGCTCTTAACCCCCGATCGTCCCCTTGTCCCCATTTTAGAGGCAAGGTCTCACTATGTAGCTATGGCTGTTTTGGAATTTACTATGTAGATATATATGTAGACCAGGAGGGTCTTGAACTCACGTCTGAGTGCTGGCTGGGATTAAAGGTACGTGCTGGTGATTTATTTTATTTTTACATGTTTGAGTGTGTGTGCACATGAGTGCAGTTCCCACGGAGGCCAGAAGACGGCGTCGGGTCACCTGGAAAGTTCCAGGTGGTTGTGAACTGCCTTAAGGGTGCTGGGAATCGAACTCGGGTGCTCTGCAAGAGCAGCCACTGCTCTTAACCGCAAAGCCACCTCTTCAGCCCCCCAGTTAATATTATTATGCAGTTCAAAAGTCCTCAGGTTCCACCCTGCAGGTCAGCTTGGTCAGAACCTCAGCATCCTGAGGCACGTCTAGGCCCGGCCCCCTTATGAAGCAGGCCCCGCCCACAGGCAGAGCGCGCCCCGCCTCTTCCGCTACGGCCTCCCTTTCCGGATGGTCGGGACTCTAGCCCCGCCCCTCCGCCGCTGAGCTTCCGCTCTTGCGCGTGCGCAACCCGGAAGTCTCGCGCGTTGGCGCCGGCGCTCGGTGAGCTTCGCGGAGGGCGCCGCGCGCGCGTGGCGGAGGCGCCATGGGGAAGCTGCGCCGCCGCTACAACGTGAAGGGGCGGCTGCAGGCGGAAACGCGGCCCGCCAAGGGCCCCGAGCCGCCCCCTGTGCGGCTGGAGCTCGAGGGTGAGGAGCCGGGGACCGGGAGGGTCGCTGGAGTGGGAGCCGGGTTCCACGTGACCCGAGCAGGGGGGCGTGACAGCCTGTCTTGTACTGCGTGGTGGGGACGCTGCCGGGAGTTTGGTGCGCAGATGAGGTCTTTGCATCCTTTCCCAGGCCTTCCATAATCATCTCCTTGCCAGAGACTCGTAAATGTGTGTTTCAGCCCAGACCTGTGAGCCGTGCGCCAGGCTGCTGGCAATGCTTGGGTTCTGGGGCACTTGTGAGCAGCGGGAACACCGTTCTGGGCTCCGGGAGTAGCGATGAAAATCCCTGTCACTCCAGGCATGCCTGCTTACCCGGATCAGACGGGCACAGAGGGGCAGAAAGACACGGTAAAAATGCATAGGCTATGGCAGGCATGCAGGTAGATACTAGAGAGAGAGAGCCGAAGATGGGAGTGGGTGGTGTGCTGGGGAAGGCCTCCCATGGAAAGAGTGATGTCAGGTCCTTGAGGAGGCCTGGGTGGAGATGAAGGAGGAAACCCAGAGACTAGGGGACATCAGGATCTGTGGGTTGTGGGGAGATGATTGAGACTTTAAAGAGAGGGGAGGTTGAGGCAGGAAGATCCCTACAAGTTTGAGACCAGCCTGGGTTACACAGTGAGACCCTGTCTTGACAAACAAAAGACTGTGTCTGTGAGAAACAGACCTATAAACCTGGCACTAAGGAGGCTGAAGCAGGAGTGATGTGAATCTGAGGCCAGCTGGGCTTTGTAGCATGAGCCAGGCCAGGTAGGGGTACAAAGCAGGATCCCATCTCAATCCCCGACCTCTGAAGTGGGGAGCTAAGGGGGCAGAGCAGAAGAGTGTAGGGTCATGTGTGACAGTGGCGTGTTAGTGGTGGCATTACAGAAAAGCATTACAGCTTGGAGGATGATGGTAGGAGGCTGGCATGGATGCTTGGACCAGGGAGATGGTGTTGGAATTCGGTGTATTCTAAAGGAGAGCTGGCTAGATTTGCTGATTGCCTGGGCCTGTGCCCAAGGACAGAGGTGACAAGAATGAGTCCCAGAATGGGCATTGGCCAGGTGGTTGGCGAAGGCAGATGTGGGCTGTTCAGGGGAGCCACATAAGCTCAGTTTTGGATGCGAGTGCTTGGGGGCTCAGAGTAGAAGGAAATGCAGCAGCTTTTGATTCAGCTGCTCGAGGCAGGCAAGGTCGGGGGGCATAAACAATTTTGTGTATGGATGGTATTTATTTAAGTCTGATCTGGCTCAGTGTGAAGAGTCCAACTGTGAAGGAGCTCTGGGAGGAGGGTCCTGACTTGGAGCTTGTGAGAAGGACTTACCCTCCATCTCAGATGCTGCCTGAGGTCCAGAAGGGAGGACAGGGGCGTTGGTTGGAGTACTAGAGGACATGGCCACCAGGGTCAGGCTGGCCTAGGAGGAGAGTGAGCTGAAAAGCAATCCAGTAGACTCAAGTATGTCTTCCAGGCTCCTGAGACTAAACATGTCCCCAGATGGAACTCCACCATCTGTTGGAGGAAGCCTCCCGAGGGTGCTCTTTGATCCCTTGGTTGGACCAGGAAGGTGGTGAGTTTGTAGGAAAGGACATCAGAGAAGAATCTGGAAGTATGAGGTCTACTGTGGTTGTTAAGGTTTGGGTCCAGTCACCTCATACCTGGGCCTTTGTTTTCATATCTATGAAATGGGACCTAACTTTTCCTCAGTGGAATCATACACCCCCTGGCTCTTAATTTAAAAGCAGATGTGGCACAGCCCACAGCTCAGTAGCCTAGTTCTGAGCACACTTCAGGGTCTCATGTATCCCAGCCTAGCCTGTATAGTCAGGGGTGACTGAACTGGTTTTTTTTTTTTTTTTTTTTTTTTTTT